ATGTATATGCATACTTATTTATATTAACAGGTTATATCTTAATCTAAGGTTTAGTTGTCAAAGGGTTTATTTTGTAACTGAAGACTTCATAGTCACTTTAAAAGGGTTATTTTACTTTGTGTGTGTGTATATATATATATATATATATAAATAGCCCACATGTATACATGCAAATAGTTTCTAAGAATTTTTCCTTTAGGGTGAATTCAAGATTTCTTCAATGTACGTGGGTTTATTTAGTGTTTCTAATTCATTCCATGTTTCATTTTATTTACTCCCCAGTACGTCAGCAGTAAGTTAAAAAAGTTACAATGCTAGAATAAAATGTATGTTTATTCGCAGTGGACATAGCACTGATAGCCCAATGTGTAACTTTTGTAAAAACAAACAATCATTTTATTAAGAGCTCTACATGTATGTGTTTGGTAGATATTTTCTATATCTTATAAAGGGATTTTATTTAAAAAAGGTTTTATGTTTTATCTTTTTATACAATTGTTTTGATGTGTATTAATTTGTTTGCAGTGTTACTATATATGTGGGAATTTTGTATTAGAATGAACTTTGTATTGAATTATGTCTTCATTAAAGGGTTGTATATAATGTATTTTTTAATGTGGTAATGCTCTATTTTTGTAAAAGATTTTATTATATAATTATGATGTTCTTGTATGTTTGTTAACCAGAGAAAGAAGTGACCTGAAGATATTGCAACTGAACAAGGTTGCCACAAATTATTTTTAAAATTAATCTAGTCTATTATTATTATTTGATTGTTTGTTTGTTTATGTTGAATTTCACGCAAAACTACGCGAGGGCTATCTACGCTAGCTGTCCCTAATTTAGCAATGAAAGACTAGAGGGAAGGCAGCTGGTCATCACCACTCACTGCCAATGAATAGTGGGATTGACCGTCACAAGATAATGCCCCCACAGCCGAAAGGACAAGCATGTTTCGAGGGACGAGGAGTCAAACCCGTGAACCTCAGATTGCGATTCAAGTGCTCTAACCACCTGGCCATGCTGCCTTTTCCTTTTATTTTTGGTGAGACCTTGTCACTCTCTTCACAACGTGGTCTCCTTGAATTTTTGAAGAAGAAAATGTCTAGTGACTTTTCAGCAGTAATTAACCCTCTTCTCATGGGTATCCTTTATTCCATGTTATACCAATAAGTGTAGCATAAAATCATATCTAATAATCCATATTTTAATAGCATACAAGTTTTAAGTTCTTAATTTTATAAGGCAATATTAAACAAAGATCCTGAATTTCTCCTAGTGTGATTTTTCTCTAGGCACCCCCTCTTCTATAATTTATTTACCACCCCTCCAAGAAGTACAAAATTTGACGTAAATTACTTATTATAATATTGTCATAACTCAAGTAAAGCACAAGTTTCATAGCCTTCAAGCCATCAAGTAGAAAATCTGACCTCTCCTGCCACATCCAACTGTCACATCCTCTCTTTCAGGATTTGTTAATTGTTCTCTCTTACATTTGGAACTATATTATTTTTGACCAGCAGAAAGTCAAGGTTTTCATCTATAAAATGACATATTATATTACATTGTTTTCCATACAGAAAAATGTTAATTTTTGTTTCAGTACAAGCTTTGTTCCCATAGGTAACACACTGACTAGCTTGAATGAATTTGTATTGGCTCATGTTACAAAGTTAGAAAGCCAGAAAAATTGTGATAGTCATGGGACATTATCTGTTATTATTCTATGTTCTTTGGTACATTATTTAATTAAAGTTATCATTTTCCTAATCTGAAAATGTATTTCTAAACATACTTATCTCTGGTAACACTTATAGCTATTTCTTGATCTTGTGATTTTATTGTCTACATACAGTGCTTATATACAGTACCTGCATAGAGGGCATGTGAGGACTGGTGTAAAGTTTAGCAAATTAGATATTGCAGAGGGCAGTTGAATAGAGTATATAAAGACTGGAGTAAAAGTACACAACGTTAGATGGCAAAGATAAAGATTGAGAAATAGCTATAAGTGTCAGCAGAGGTATGTATGTTTTGGAATAAAAATCATTTAATGCATTACTACCATTAGTATAAAAAGATATGGTTAAATGTCATCGACATTTGACAGCAAAAATAAAGTAAGTAAGCCCAGGTAGGTACTTTATTTATTGTTTTTCATAAGTATTCTTTATCTATTATTATAAAAGTAACTAAAACTGTCTCAAAGACAACATACAAAAGAAAGGAATGATTTGCATGTTATGCTAAGCAAAGTGATTCGCAATTGGGGTTGTTTTGATTCGCAATTTGCAATGCAAACCCAGATATTTTGTCCGCTGCAGGAGACCCTAATGTGTATTAAGTAACTGGTGAAGGAAGCTGGCTTTCTCTAAGCTGTGGTACATGAATAATGAGGAAGAAGATAATCATGTAATGAATTAGCTACACATCCATCTAGAGGTAGAAAACTGTGCTTGGAATATATAATATCCAGTTTTGTACAAGTACTGAATTGTGAACCATGCTTCTGGGCCAAATGAAAAGTCTTAATAAAATGGCAAAACTTCAATAAAATAAAATATTAAGAAAAAATTACAAGAATTTCTAAAAACCAAGGAATAAATCATAATATTTAAAGTCATAAAATTCAATAATGAATTATAATGTACTTAAAATACCTAATAAATAGAATTTGGGTAAATTTCATACTTAAACGTTTAAATTACTTTTATATTATTTTTATGTTGATTTTATTATTGTGATCATTGTTCACACCACTTCACAACTTTAAAGATAATTATTAACACCAAGTGTTATTTAAAATTCAGACCAACAAATAAACTAAACCTAACTAGAATTCTTCTGAAATTTTACTGTTGAGAAGGTTTTATATTTGATATTTCTAAACTGAGGTTCATTGAGTTACAAAGGCAAAAGATAAAATAATTTGGTAAAATAAAACTCTTAAATACCTAAACTTTTTGCACTAAAACTAAATTAATCAGCTTGAAAATAATAACAATAAATCATTCATTCCATAAATAAAGACATATGTAGACTTATCTACACAATAACAATAAATTAAATCTTATGTAGTACAACTAACAGGCATTTAATAAGTTACACTTACTGTCCTTGCACGTAGCAGGAGTGCCTATCCAATGACCATAAGAACACTTCATTGTTCCAGTTGAATTAAGAGTATAAAACTCATTACATTTATAGGAGACTGGTGTTCCATGATCACCTTCTGTTATAATTGTGTAACCATTTTCAATAGAAGAAGGTTTGAGGTGACATTTTTCTGTAAAAATAATTTTATAGTATGAATCTTTGATCAATAAAAATAATTTGACCATTAAAAAATGTATTTTCAAATTGAATATTTCATCTGCCACAATTTATCTGAAATTGTACTTACGAGGCATACAATATTTTATAATGTTCTAAAAAATATATTACCAATACTTAAAAAGCACATTAGATTAAAAAGCTAAATAAACAAAAGTTAAAAAAGTTTTGACAGAAATTAATAAAAAACCTATAACCTGAGCACTTTTGAAAGGTGGACCTTTCTTCTTCAGTTTGTCCCTGAAGAAGGAAGGTCCATCTTTCAAAAGCACTCGGGTAATAGGGTTTTTATTCATTCTTGTCAAGACTTCTTGAACCTACGTGTTTTTCTAATATCATGAAAGTTAAAAAAAAAAGTCTGTTAATCTAATGCTTAAAGAATATGTTTACAATATTCTCCCATTCTTTGTTTATCAACTTGTTTGTTTGTAAATGCCAAGCAGTGTTATAATATTAATTAATATCAAAGCACTCATTTTATAGAAACTGTTTAATTAAGAAGAGATGTTTGTTTTCTTCTAAAGCATGCTTCTTAATATTCTTTAATGCATGCACTTGTTGAAAGTTTTATGAATTAGTAATGGATCAAGCCCTGGAAGGCAATGAATATAGAACAAGACCAATCTAGAGAGTATAATGCAGCTGATTCACTAAAAACTTCAGCCCTTTGTTTAGAAGGGAATGGAAGTTTTAAATGAAGCCAACTGTTGACTAAGAAAAAGCTGTTTGTATGGCAAGAAATGTGCTGATTATTGGCTGCCCAATCATAAAACAATAGTTATAGCAAGTGTTTAAAGGTTTAAATCTTTTTCCAAGAATTTTGTTTTATAGAAATTGTTGTTAGCATTATGCACAAGAGATTCATAATATGAAGTTGTATATGTTTTTTTTCACTTCTCATTGCAGGGTATAGCACTAGAATACCATGTTCTATTTAAGTATTTGGCTAGTATATACTACACTTTCCTGTATGCTCAGTAGTATAATGAAATGACCAGGACCAAGCAAACAAAATAGATATTTAGACAAGATTTATATCTCCATATAAATGCTAAAATGGGTCAGACTACTCAAATTATGTCACTTGATATCTACACTTAGCTGTATATGAAAAAAATATATGTTTAGTAAGTAGGTACAATATTTTTCATTTTCTGAGAACTTTACGAAAATTTATATTTCTATTTTAAATTTTATTTATATTTTTTACTTGTAGACACATTCTTAAGATTCTGACAGTTTCATTTGTCTCTGTATACCATGATGCCTCATTTAATTATTTCATTTAGTTATATACAACATAAACAAGGTCACTGCATGAATTAAAATGATTTCATTTGCAGTAAACTCTACTCATGATGACTAAAGTTTGGTTACATGAAAGTGAATTGAATTTCTAGCTACACATTTGATCTGAATTTTAACCTCACTCGTTAATACCATAAAACTTTCAACAAGAATTGCAAGCAATGAAGAGAGCTGTATCTTACTTGGTTTACAGGGTTGGAAGTTTCCAGTCCATTTTCCCAAGTCACATTTAATCTCAGCATTTGTATCTTTTTCGTATCCTTCATCACAGTGAAACTGCAGACTTTCTTTGTTTTCGTAATATTCTTTATACACTATAGTATAGTGATCTTCATTCAAATGATTCTTGTAACATCGAGCTAAAATTGTTTACATCAAATATGTTATTATTTTGTGGTAAACTTTAACTTCAAAATGTACTAATTATAACAATTTTTTATTTATATTGACTAGTTTTTACATGTTTATATTAATTATTTCTTAATGCTGTCACACTTAACAGAAGCTGGATATAATAGATGAAAAGTATACACGTAATTTTTTCAATTATATTTCATATGTACTTGAATAAAATTGATTTATTTTCTTTGATTAGTAATCTTGTTTAAAACTGCTGTATTTTTGATAAAAAACTAACAAATTATAATTTAAGTTTAAAATTAATATTCAATAACCCTAGCTATATACGAATACACTGATTTTACCATCTACTTGTAGCTATAACATAAAAACTTTACTATGAAATACTAGTTCAAATTATTGTTATGTGAGAAGATAAAACTTGTAGCTGTATAAGGGTTTGGTGTTAAAAATCAAACAGTTATTATATTAAATATCAAATACATCAAAAAATAAACAAAGAATTGTTATTACTTGTGCTTTTACTGAAAAACCATAAAAACTGTTTGATTGTTGTATATAACAATATGAAATACTGTTGCAGGCTTTGTTTTTAACTGAGAACTTTTTATACATCAAAAGATAAGCACTAGGCTGACTGGAACCTCCTCACTCAAGGTTGTTGATTAATGAGTAAGCCAGCCAGTTATACATATTTTTATATCAACATTGTAAATTTTGAGTTAGTGTTTTTAATCAAGTAGCAGAGATACATTAAGTACCATACTAGCAATTAAAGTTAACAAGTAGGTGGAATTACTGTTGAGATATTATTTATTTGGGCAAATAGGCTTATTGTTTGTTACGTGGAATTTGTAGTTGAAGAAATGAAACACTTGTTTTTGGTATCATTACGTAGACTGGACTGCAATACTCGTTTTTGAAATAATCCAAAAAATCCTGCCCAACAATAAAACCCATCACAACACCCGTGTCAGAAGTGTTATTTTGGCAATAACAAAATATAATCTAGATTAAACATCAAGATGATAACATTAGAATAATTAACTCAAAGGATTAGTTGACAACTGATTACACAGAAAAGAGGAATAAAAAGCAAAGAACAGAAGTTGTTTTAATTGCAGTTTGAAAGGACATATTACCAGGAACTGCAGCCAACGTGACACACATGTACCATAAAACTTTTTGTTATAATAGTTACATTAATATAAACATAAATTACAGATGTTTGGGGTATTGTCCAATTCTGGAAATGTTATAATCATTGTGAAATCTTTCATATGTTATAACAACTAGTTAAAGAAGAAAGATTAAGATTCATATGAGCAAATGACAGTCGTAAATTAAATCTGTTATTATAAAACCACTACACTTAAATTCATTTTATATTAATTTTTGTCCAAACACAAAGTCATTAAGTAACAGGCAAACTTAAATATTTTGCAGCAATTTTTATACTTACAAAAACAAACAACCTATGTTTGTTATTTGAGAAAATAATGAAATAAACCAACAAAACACTGCAACAAATGAACCTATTATCAAACTACTTAAGTAACACATGGCTTTCAACTCACTGTCTTTGCACACAGCAGGTTTACCAATCCAACTCCCATAGGAACACATGATTGATCCCACTGACTCAAGAGCATAAAACTTGTTACAGTTATAAGAAATCTCAGTTCCGTGATCACCTTCGGTCATCGTCGTGTAGCCATTCTCAATTGAAGGTGGTTTATTGTGGCATTTTGCTGTGAAAACATTTTAACAGTATAGAACAAACATTTTAAACATGAAAACATAATAGGTAACCAATATTTTTACTCAAAATAATTTCAGCAAAATAAATTTGAAATTTCTGTCCATAATTCAGCAAACTCAGAAAATATGCTAAACGTTATAATAACAATGGACTATTATTATTAACATGTGTTCTTGACCATAAACACTAACAAAAGAAGTAAAACCAAGTTACATGCAAAAGTACTCCCAGGTGGTCAAGGAATAGGAAGATAAAAGTATTGTCACATGACATACAATATGCTTGATGTTTAATTTATCAGAGAGAACTCCAGATCAGGTTGACGAACATAATGATTCATGCTTTAAATAAGAAGAAATTTGAAATACTTCCATACAAGCTAAAGCAACCTGCCCGGGTTAGGGCAATTCTAACAATAAAAAGCAAGAAGGAAGCACTCTGAGGAATAAATCAAGGTCATAAATAGGAATATTATTAGATTTGTAGTTCTATAAAGTGTAGAACAAAAAAAAGAAAACAAGTACATCATTAATGCAAAAATATTAGCTTTGATTGATAAATGTAAAAAGTGAGCTTTTGACATATTACATTAAAACATCAACAATAATATTGTCCTTCACCCAGACAGAAACTAAAAAATCAAGAAATGAGGACATGGATAAGCACATCATGGGGTGGCAAGATGAAGCTCAAGCTCTCAGAATAAGCTCCATACCCTGATGAAGAGACTGATCTTTGCTAATACCTTTTTTTTTTTTTAAATAGAACTGGAATTACAAAATAGGCACATACAACTTAGTTTGGGGTAGCTAACTGTATCAAAGATGCTGCAGACTTACAGAAAGATTTAGTTCATTTAATGCATGTAGGTTTTCACAATTCAAATTATTGTTACAATTTAAATGGGAATACATTAAGTACCGTGGTTGAAGAAAAAGATCTTGATGTTGTAATCAAAAATCACTAACGTCATCTAAACAGTGTAATGTAGCTAGCAATAAGGCTAACAGTATTTTAGGTAGTCTATAGAAATATTGAATACAAGACAAGGGATATTATTGTTTCAATGAAAAGATCAGTTGTAAGTCTTCATTTAAAGTACTGTGAACAGTTTTGGGCTCCCTTCCTCGAGAAAAAGGACATTGAGTTGTTGGAGAAGGATCAGAGAAGAACCACTAGGATGATACCTTGGACGGTGGGATTATCCTATAAAGAGAAACTAAAATATCTATGCTTGTTTTCTCTGGAGAGAAGATGGGTCAGGAGGGGATTTGATTGAAGTGTTTAAGATTATTAAGGGTATTGATGATATAGATCCATCAAACTTATTTGTATTTGGCATTGATAACAATAAGATAAGGGGTCATAAGTTCAAATTTTGGCAGTGTAGGAGTCATCTGTAGTTTAGACAGTATTACTTTTCAAACAGGGTGGTTCGCTTTTGAAATGAGCTGTTTTCAAGGGTGGTGGAGGCAGAAAACTTAACTGAGTTCAAGAAAAGATTGGATGAATATATGAGTATTAAGGGGGTGGTTACAGTTGGGAGCTGAAAGGAACACCCTTGATGGGCTAATAAGCTCTTTTTTGTTCCTTTGAAATTTTATGAACTATGAATTAAGAAAAAGAAAATTAGGAGCTTGAATGTAAGGAAAGTGGCAAAAATGTTAACATAAGATTCTATCTGAAAAGAACGTTAGTCTGAAACATAAAAAAAAAGAGTTTGTTTCACAATCAAATATGTTACTGCAGAAACATGATGATACCTTTATGGAATAAATAAATAATAAAATAAATATTGTTTTATATGATTTATAGTACTGTTTTCTCCTTTAAATCTCTATATTTTTACTTTAACAGTCACAGAAGAAAATGAATTTAATTTTAAACATTTTTTACCTCAAACTTCAGAAAAACCTATGAATATAATAATTTATAATCTTCAAGTTCTTGAAATTCTAGACTTACGAGTATGGATCAAATAAATCCTTAGTGCATATCAAAATTAATGACTTATTGTGACATGAAGCTTGTTGCAGGTTTTTCTGACTACAAGCTATTTTGTCTTTAAAATATTCAGGGGTGGATTAAAGTAGGAGTTACTGGGGCTGTAGCCTTGGTCTGGGCTCAAAAAAGGTCCATTATGGGGTTTAGTTTTTTATACCTTAGTTTGTAATTGTGATTATAATGGGCTTAATAGAAAAACTTAGCTCTACACCTGTCTGACCTTTAATCTATCCCTGAAGATAATATATAATTTAGATATGGTGTTGAAGCATGATTCACAAACTGATGAATTACTTACACCTCTAATAATTAGCATGTACATCTCTCAAGATGAAATTAACATGGTAAAATAACATGACAAAAGCTATATTTAAACAGAATCTTACCTGGCTTACAAGGTCTTAAGTTGCCAATCCATTCTCCTGAATGACACTTTATCTCAGCATTGATAATGTTTTCATATCCTTTGTTACACTCAAACTGTAGCTCATCTCCACTTTGAAGTGAGCCTTCATGATACACATAATAGTTATGTTTGCTCAGGTTGCGTGTATAACATCTTGCTGAAAGTGTCAGACCAAATATACTATAATCACATGCTTTGATAAAAACCATAACTTTAACACTGTTTACTTTAACTAACCTGGTCAGAACTGGATTACTTGCAATAGTACCATGTGAAGATCATGTAAAAACTGTTGAGTACACTAACAACAATGGTAAAAACCACTTATCTCATATGTATACCTAGCACACAAACTGTTGTCAACAGATGGCTAGAAATATGTAATTTGTTCTAATGAGTTTCATTCTTTTCTGTACTGACAGTAAAATGGATGTGTGGAGAACATATCATGTAGTACGTACCCTGATTATGTTTTCTGTCAATACAAGATACAGAATGTAATATAACGGTGTAAGGAATGTTCGTTCACACAACAGGAGTTAGATACTCTGATTACGTCAGAGTGTAACTGCATGGTTGTTGTTTACCATTTGATAAATGGGTTACATTAACAAAATAGCCTTCCTACATCCTGTGGATTCTAAGATATGCCAGGTGGAAGTCCTAATAAAGTGTGTAACAATCTTATTCTATAATCAAGCACAACTAGACTGTTACCAATAACCTCTACTGGCTCAATAACAACACACTGAGTAATTCTAGGAACTGTTTATTACACAAGACATTTCATAAACACTGAACAAGTGATATTTACTGCTCAGGAACCAGTGGACTAAAACCTACATAGTAATGTCTGCAGAATTGACAGTAACAAAAACTACTAACATGGCAGTTCAGTATTTATATAATGCACCTCAGCATAAGTTGATGTCAGAAACCAATCGACAATAAACACCTTGTACAACCAGTATCATATGTGAAGGTTTTGTTACACCATACACTGTAGTTTAAGCTCAGATGAAATGATTACATAAAATATAAACAGAAAACATGTAAGTTACCATTAATGTAAGTTATGTAATGATATGATAATATATCTAATGATTATGTGGCAACAGACTCCTGCATTTGAAGGAAAAAATAATACAATCTAAGTTCCTTACAAGTGGCCATGCACTGGACTGAAATTGACATTGTAGATATATAGCACTTACAGAAACTAGAAATACAGATTATATTCCCAGTGTTTCAATAACTTAATGCAGAAAGTTAAAAATCTCATAAAGTTGTTACATTGTATCAATAGAACTACTGAACAGATACGTATTGGAATTTGATGACAATAAGCTCACTTGTTAGAAAATAAAGTTTGGAGATGGCTTGAATGGGTAGTGAAAGAAATTTTATTACAAATTTCCAATTTTTCAACAAAATTATGTCATCCTCAGGTACTAAAAAGTTTTTTTTATTTTTACTGTGTACAGATTTTTTTCTTCATTTAAAATGGAGTTGCTTTGGTTGAGAGTCCATTGTACATTGCTGTGCTCATCTGGTTAGAGGTAGTGGGCAAATTGGTGGTCTAATTCCTGTTTACATTTTATTAAGTAGTTCTTGATATATGTGGAATTCAGAGTAGCTTTCAGAAGTTTTCATCACAAGTTTTGGATAATACCTGATGACATAGTTTTGTCAAAACATTGTACATTTTCTTTCATTACATGTTCAAGCCATCTCCAAACTTGGGTCTAAGCATAGATTTTATTACAGTGATTACCTATATAAATACTTTAGAAAACCTTCCTGCCAATTTCAAACCTCTCTAAAATATTAATAACATCTCCAACTTCATAGTGATTATTATATTTTTTCATATATGTTTAGCTTTATATAAAACTGACTTACATTCTTATCAACAGGTTAATAAATTTACAGAATAAAAAATATATTATGAAATATGTATGAGATAAATTAATTTATTATGAACTCAAGAGTGAATTTATGACGACTTCAGATGTAAAAATGACAGGTTCAGTGTTGTTATATATAATAAAAATAGTAACTACAATTATATTTTAAGTGGTGAATTTGTGCTTTAAAGAAAGTTGCTTAGAACTCTCACAATTACCTTATATTATATATTTAAGTCAGTTGTATAATGTACCTGCCAAATGAACAAACATTATGATTGCTAAAAGATGGAACAGATCCCAAAATGTATTAAAAAGCAATTAAGTAACTAGTATAATGAATTTTTCCCTATAAATGTGTTTTTTATAGATCTGTACTTCTTCAAACTTTTCTAGTAAAATTCCAATACTTATTTCCTGAATAACAAATACTAAGATTCTACTAGAACTGAAAAAAAAATGTTTACAACTGGTATACCAAAAACCAAGTTCAATATAGCTTATTATTTGTACTTACACAGTCTTTTTGGAAGAAATGTATAGCAAAGGCAGATTATAGGTGGGGCTATTAGGGCTTCAGCCTCAAGCCCAAGCTCAGAAAAAGGCCCATCATGAGATTTACTGTTTTTTTTTATCTTAATTTTTAGTCACAAGCATAATAGGCCCAGTAAAATAAATTTAGCCCAATGCCCATCTAACTTTTAATCTGCCCTTGATGTACAGCAATTATTTTCCTCTACGATATGAATATATTTGAAAGATTACCAACAAAACATCATCTGAAGAACAGACATAAAATATACTTCTATACTATAATCCTATTAGAAAGCTAAACTTACTGTCTTTGCATACAGCAGAATTACCAATCCACCTGCCATAGGAACACATGACTGATCCTTTTGACTCAAGAATATAAAACCTGTTACAGTAATAAGAAACTACAGTTCCATGATCTCCTTCTGTCACCATCGTGTTGCCATTTTCAATAAATGGAGGCCTGATGCGACATTTTGCTGTAAATTAAAAACACATAACTAGTACATAATAAAGTTGTTTACTACAAATATATTTATAAAGACAGTATTTTTCAGATATTGATTTATACTTATTTCATTTCTTAATTAATAAGTTATACTAAAATAGAAAAAGTTAAATGGTGCAAGATATTTCACAATAATGGATTGTCACTATTCATGTTCCTTTTAAAAACTTGCAAATGCTAACGATTGTGAATTCATAAGGCTCTTTTGAACCTCACATAATATCTAGCAGTAGATGTGAAATCTGTTATGTCTGAAGAATAAGAGCATTACAGAATGATAGACACATATCCTAAATGTTTCTTTTAGCTACTTCATAGTATTTTTTTTTTATTTTACTAAGAGCTAGGATTCACATGAATTATAAAATGACAAATCATAACTGGTTAGATGGATAAAATTATACAATGAAGAGATAAAAAAAGCTACTCAAAACTTAATGTATACAGGATTATAACATAACATAATATTTTGGGACAACATGGGACTTATTGGTCCATCTCAGCTGTCCCATCCTCTAAACTAAAACTATTAAATAAATAGAATAAAAAATCTTAAAGCTAGCCTTTATCATTCATATAGTTACCAAGCTTTCTCTTAAACTCACTTAAATTTACTGCCTTCACAACATCTAAAGGCAACCCATTCCAAAGGCCAACTACTCTGTTAGAAAAAGAAAACTGTATTATCTTGAATTTAAAAACAAAAGAGTGTGCTTTATCTCATTACCTTGTAAGTTACCAACAACAAGCATAAAAAACCCGAAGAAAAAGTTAAAACTACCCCCCCCCCCAAAAAAAACCAAACCTTATTGGTCAATACGATTAGTCAACATATCTATAAATATGGTTGATACAAAAGGGAAATGAAGTAGAAGAAAAAATCAGACTTGTCTCTACAGCGACTGAAGCAACAATGGCCTGGAAAAACTACTGTTACACTTCTACTCCATGCAAGCAGTAAAAAAATGCATAACAGTTTCTTGAAATACACTAAATTTTTCTTTCTATTTGAATTTTTATATTCATAATCTTTCTCTTCATCACCTAAAAGTTGCCAAACATGTCTTAACTGAAGAAGGATGAGGAAAATCCCTAATGGTACTGCTTTATGAGAATCAAAGTGAATACCAGGTGAGGTTACCAGAGAATGTGGTAAAGGCTTAACATGTGATGTATACAATTTAGTTTAATTGTGCTGAATCAAACCATTGTGGCATATCAACACAAATGGTGAGAACATATGAAAATAAGAATCTTCTTTGATATCAGAGATGAGAGGAAACATGCAACAAACTGAACGGATCTTCTTGAGATTTGAGGCTCTGTTATCTTTGCCAACAAAGAACCAAATCAACCTTAGAGAACTGGTAAGAAATGAGGGTTCCATGTATAAACTGGAAATTGTAATTGTCACAACTTGAAGTTCACAGTTTTAATCAAGTTGTAGAAATATTCCAGTTTAACCATGGACAAAGTTATATGTGAGTTTCTAATTTTTATGGCTAAATAATCATACATTAGCATACTTCAACAGCAACAAATTCTTGCCTTTTTATTTATGTTGAGTTTGACTTAAATTTAGGTAAATGATGAATATTTGAGTACATTTATCAATGATACTACAGCATTAAATTCAGTTTTTCCAGTGGCATTAAAAAAACGAAAAACAAATTAAGTCCTTCTTTAAAAACAGCCAAAATTAAACAAATAACTCTAAAAAAAAAAGTTATCTGTTTCTGTTCATCTTGCAATGCCAATCTGATGTTGATTTAACTGGTAGTTTCATATATTTGGATTGAACAGGGAAAAATT